TAGTTTTTTAACCTAGAAGGAGTAAAAGACCCAGATTAGAAAAAGATTTCGGCCTTGATTATCATGTTTTTAATGTGGAGGAAACTCCATTAACTTTTCAAGAAGCTTTGGCATCTCCTGACTCTGTTTTTTGGAACGAGACTGTAAATGATGAGATGGAATCATTATTATCCAATAAAACTTGGGTATTAGTAAATTTACCACCAGGTTGTAAAACCATTGGCTGCAAATGGGTTTTGAGAAAAAAACTTAAACCGGATGGAACTATTGATAAATATAAAGCAAGGCTTGTTGCAAAAGGTTTTAAACAACAAACAGATCTTGACTTTTTTGATACATTTTTTCCGGTTACTAGAGTTACATCCATTAGATTATTAATTGCAGTGGCTGCAATTCATGATCTAAAAATTCATCAAATGGATGTTAAAACAGCCTTTTTAAATGGAGACCTGGGTGAAGAAATCTATATGGATTAACCTGAGGGTTTTGTAGAACCCGGTCAAGAAAGCAAAGTGTGCAAGCTAGTTAAATCCCTATATGGCTTAAAACAGGCCCCCAAACAGTGGCATGAGAAATTTGATTCCTGCATGATTGAGAATGGTTATAAAACGAATGAATGTGATAAATGCATCTACTATAAATCTGAAGAAAATTCACATGTCATTATTAACCTCTATGTGGATGATTTACTTGTATTTGGCTCTAATCTACATATCATTGTGGAAACTAAAAATATGCTTAGTAACCATTTTGATATGAAAGATCTTGGTGAAGGTAATTATATTTTGGGAATGAAAATTTCCAAAACTTGTGATGGTATATTTCTTGATCAGTTACATTATGTTGAGAAAATTTTGAAAAAATATAATTTTTATAAGTGCAAGCATGTTCTTACTCCTTTTGATCCTCATGTGCGTTTATTTCCAATTGAAAAAGATGAGGATGTAATTAATCAAAAGGAATATGCTAGTATGATTGGTAGCTTGCGTTATGCAACTGACTGTACTAGACCTGACATTGCCTATGCAGTTGGAGTACTTAGCAGGTTTACTAGCAAGCCTGGCAGTGATCATTGGCTAGCCATTGAGCGTATTATGAAATATTTATCTGGTACCATAAAATATGGCTTGTTTTATAATAAGTATCCTGCAGTACTTGAAGGTTACAGTGATGCCGATTGGAATACCTTGTCAGGTGATTCATTATCAACCACCGGTTACTTATTTACATTGGGAGGTGGTGTTATAAGTTGGAAATCAAAAAAACAAACCATTATTGCTAATTCAACAATGGAGACTGAGCTTATTACTTTAGCTACAGCCAGTGAAGAAGCAAATTGGTTAAGAGATTTGTTAAATGAAATCTCTTGTTGGGAAAAACCGATTCCACCTATATTGATTCATTGTGATAGCACCGCAGCAATTGGTCGAGTTAATAATCGTTATTATAACGGTAAATCCAGACCTATCAGAAGAAAACACAGTACTGTGAGATCTTATATGAATAATGGCATCATAAATGTAGATTATATTAAATCTGGTGATAATCTTGTAGATCCATTAACTAAGGCCTTAGCAAGAGATAGAGTCTGGAATACATCGAGGGGGATGGGGTTGAAGCTCATTGAATATAGCAGGAGCCATGTATGAGGATACTCAACCTAGGGACCAGAGATCCTGTAACTGGGTTCAATGAGAAAAACGATCATATGATGGCCGTGAGAAATGCATTAAATTACTTTTTACCCATCCCTATGATGTAAGTGCATTTATCCTGTAACGTTGTAGAGGTTGAGTTATTAAAAAAACTCTTCATGAATTTCTGTAGCTCTTATTGAGTGGGGTGTCATAGTTACAAGAGCACCCTTGACAGAATTCACTTATGTGAGTGTGGTAGTGGGGCCGCTACCTATGAGATTTGGGCTAATTCTCAAACACACTCATGAATCATGGAATTGCACAAGGCCGTAATGTGCTGGTTTTTAAAGGTTATGTGAACACCTGGAATATTATGTGTGTGCAATAATTATTTATTTCCTTTAAGCAGTCATAGTTCAATGCTAAGCATACTATTGGCTCTGGAGTAGATATTATTATTTCACTAATGGAGGTTCAATGCAGAACACACCTACCATGATGCATAATATCCTTATTTGCCTAATAATCTCAGTTTTTGTTACCTATAATATTAAAATAGGTGGGGAAATGTTAGCAGATATTTTAATATTATAATGTGTTATAGGTTTGATTTTCTTTTCTTTCCCTCCAAGTTTTCATTATCTTTCTCTACAAGTCTCCAAGTCTTCCAAGGAAGTTGCCTACCAATTTCCTTTCCTATTCTTATCCTCCAAGTCTTTGCCAAATCAAGTCTCCTTCAAGTCTTCCAAGAGTCAAGTCTTCATACCTATCCTCCAAGCATCTTCCAAGGAGCCTCCAAGCAACTTCCAAGAAGGATCCTCCAAGAAACTTGTCCACCAAGTTTCATCTTCTATAAATTGAGCTACTCTCCTATCTTGGAACACACGAGAAGAAGTTTTATTGCCTTATTATGTTTTGTGTGAGATTATAGGCAAATAAAAAAGGGTATATGTGATAAAGCTTTGGGTTCAACCAATTGTGCAGTATTGGTGAACTGTACGACTTAGTCGGGCTGTTGTATCCTAGGGGGGACAAGTCAATATTTTTTCTGCTGCACCGATGTAAGGCTTTGCCTAATCGCAGAGGGCTTGAATCTCCTTAAAGAGAGTGAATTTCCCGCGCCTCAGCCCTTTCAATAATTATTGTAATTTTTATTATTTATATTTTCTAGTTTTTATTTGTAATTATCACCAACAATAAGTAACAAATATAATACACTTTTGTGATAAAAACTAGAGGGAACCATTTACAGAGCAACTTTCATACATTTTATTCATTTATTTTCAATGTAAAATTCTTAATCTTCGATAAAACCTTTTAAAACCTCATGCAAATTTATGTTCTACATCAAACTGACAAAATCGATAAAGTCGAACCGTGGCATATGGTCTGTAACGGTTTATTAACCATGAAAATTGAAAGGATCGATTTGGTGCTAAATATGCCATCAATACCCCTAGTGGCGAGCGACGGGGTAGGGTGTGAAGAAGAAGAATAGGGGAGTTGCAGAGGGAGGGCTGCCAATGGTAACGGCATGATGGGGCATGGCGGTAGGGGCGACCAGAGCTGGGTGATTGACCAGAGCTGTGTTTATGGCAAGTGGTAAGGTTTTTGTCATTTTGTTGAGGGATAAAATTGTATTAGAAAAAATTTTAAAAATGGAGCGCCCAACCAAACTCTCAGGTACATTAGAGCCTCCCTTGTATCCAACTTCTACTTTTATTATTATTTTTTTACTAATTAAACCTTTACTTCTAGAGGCATATGCAAGTAAATATGGTAACAATTTTTATTTTTTTTTCATTTGTTAATCTTACAAAATGGACAGAATATGAGTCAAAAAGCTATAAATTTATAGCAAAATATACATTACAATGTTTTATAATCTTACTTTTTAGACATTTTAAAGCAGTTTTATTTTTATTTTTATCTTAACTTTTTCTGTACGTTTAGTCTAGAAGGCCATAAAAAAGTTTTTATAGTTATTAATGATGTTATTTAAAAATGGGGCATGTACTAATAAATCACATTTACAAAATTTATGGACTATATCCAAAATTTAATAAATCCTATATCTAATATTTTATTGGACTAATCCCATATATATCAACTCATAAGTTTTTTGAAAATACAATTTTGACAAAAAATTAATAAGACAATAATGCACAAATGAAACATATCCATATTTAGAATTTCCAAGAAATATAGTAAAAAGACCTCACTATATATCTTTTCAAATTCAATAGGACTAAATAGCTTATAAAAAAAAAATTATGGGACTTTCCGGTAAATACTTTCTAGGATGGGACTTTTGTGAAAAAATTTCATTAATTAATTATGTTGAAAGTGAGAGAGTGTGTGGTGTGATAGAGAGAGTGAAGCATGTAATAGGCTTACTTCCAATGTAATTTGCGTCGTTTTTCGGGTGCAAGGGCAAATGGCATAATTTGATGGTAAATTTCCTACTCTTCACTGCTGGCATGATTTGGTAGTAAATTCACTTTTCTAATGTAATTCCCATTGAGTATTAACACCATGTTGTGAGAGTTTGATATTTGATAATCTAATTCAACACTTAAAATTGAATGTATTAAATAAAAATTAATTAATTATGTTTGAAAATCATAATTAGCATTACTTAAAATTTTAAGTGACCGTTAAAATATAAACTAAAAGTCAAGAATATTTTAATTGACTAAAAACTTACTTAATACTGACTAAATTGATAAATGATTATGATAAGTGTTGACATACACTGTTATAATCTTATCACACCGTTACCATCACAACCACTATCGTCACCGCCACACCACCACTACAATTATTACCACTGCCACCACTTCTTCACCACCATCACCACAACTACTACCATCACCTCCATTATCATTGTTATTATTCTATAAGTATCAATATTATTTCACTACCATCACTATAATCACCACCACCACTAACCCCACTATTCCACCACGACTACAATAATATGAAAATCCTTCTTCTCTGCAACCATTGCCACTATTGCTATAATCATCACCATCATTCTACCACAACAATAATTACCATTGTTGCCACTCTTTTTGTCTCCATTACATTAGTCTTCCACCATTATTATAACCACTATCTTTCTACTTACAACACCATTGCCATTGGCCTCATAGCCACCACTGCCACCTCCTCCTCCACCACCACCACCACCACCGCCATCACTACCTCACCATCGTAATATTATCTTATATATATATATATATATATCAAATAATTTGTTTTAATGCAACACCTAAATTTTTATCAAATATCTTTTCAACTTAAAGAATACAGTATTCAATTTTCAATACCTAATTTTTGATTTTATCAAACATCACTTAATTTATGTAAATGGGAACTTCCATTGAAAAAGTAAGCCTTATTTGATATTTTCTCGATTTTGTATGTAAAGCATTTTCAAGATGCAAATCTCAAAAATGTTTCTACCGCATAAACCATCTTATATAGATTCTACAGCGTAAGGGAAGCAAAACCAATAAAACAAACAAGTCACTGTTATATCAAATAGGAGGACATGAGGTTCCAACTAATTTTCATGTGGGATGGCATCGATGCCACAAACCGAAGGAGATCTGGCTTAGAGCGAAGCATGGCGTTCGGGTGGTGGTTTTCTGGGTTTAGGTGATGATGATTAAGCTCCACAAACTTTGCAATGTTGGGAAGTACAAGCTCCCTGCAATGCAGATGTAGCAAGGGAACCTTAGACAGGACACTTCCCTTTTGAACGTCCAAACCTTCTGGCCTCCGCAATTTGTAGGGTTTTCCAGTTGTCAGCTCAAAATCAACGCTAGGCATTTGCTTCCATCTACGATGCACAAACCAGCCATACTTGTAGTCACCTACAATTGGGGTGCCAAGAGCTTCAGCACAATGCACACGCAGCTGCAAAAATTGGGCAATAGAACTTGAAATTAGATATGCCCCGAAATCCAGAGACCAGAATGAAGCTTTTCCTAATGATTTTTATGACACTACGGACAACAAAGTCACTAAGGCATCCAAAAGCATGAATCAACCACTCTTCCTCTAGTGAGCATCACATCTCAGTCAATCAATCAGTCCACTTGTTTTACCGAATGTTAACACTAGTACATTCAAGCTAGGAGCATATATAAAAATATATATCCAACACATACAATTGAGATAAGAAATTGCTAGAATAAAATTTTATAACACATTTCATTGAATTGATGTCAAGTTAAAATTCCCACAACCAATTTCAAAATGGAAAGTTGCTACATCATGAATGGTTGCTGGTTCAGTAAAACTTTGTAGGGTCTTTGAAAACTCAATATACGCAAGCACAGAAAACTCACTTCGGAGTATATCACATCCTCGACACACAAATGAGTACATAATGAGTGACTGGGGTTGCCTGTGTAAAGAGAGAAGTGAGAAGAGAGCTACCTGATGCTTCCGGCTTGTATGTGGACACAATTCAATCCATGAGCATCCATTTATGATCGGACCAAGCACCCGATATTCAGTTACAGCCTCTTGGGAAGCTTCTAAACCTGAGCAATTAGCCAAAATAACTCTCTCAGTTTTCTCGTCATTAAGAAGTACCTGCAATCAATTAAAAAAGCCCTATTCATATTGTTAACTCTTCATATCAACTAAATTTGTGTTTGTGTGCGTGTGCGTGAGAGAGACAGAGACAGAGACAGAGAGAACCTTCGAAAGAGGGGCACAAATTATGCCTTCCTTTTCCTTGGGAGACCCAATGACCAAAGCCCAATACCTCTGATATGCTGCTTCACATGCAGTATTCCAAGCCTAAAATTCCAATGATTTTACATGTTAGAAGAAAAAGGTTAACACCAACCAATGTCCCGTTCAACATACATATTATAAATAAATAAATAATTTCAAGTGATTTTACATGATGTTTGTAAGGGAAAATTTAATGCACCATATGGATGGTTCAGGTTGAGGAATGAGTACCTTAGATGAGGATTTTGCTCTGTTTATGTCGCTGAACAACCAATGAAGATGAGAAATGCTTTCATTAGTTCTCCCCATTAAAAGGAGGCCACTGCTCTCTCTGTCTAGACGATGAACCTAACATACAGTCAAATGAGAAAAAGAAAACACAAATGCTTTAAAATAAGTCAACAGATCAAATAAGTTACCATCCATAGTCATCTGAGCAATAGCATAACATGTTTCAATTCAAAAATAAAAAATAAAAATTTAAATTCAAATTTCCTAGATAGTGAAATTCCCTTATTATGAAATTTTTCACATTTTTTGCCTTAGAAGGCAACATAAAATTCGATATTTCTTTAAGAAACAAATTTTGAAGAGACAACATTGATTAAAACATTCAAATTGTGATAAATAAATAAAAAAATGATACTCCTAATATCCATTACACAACTGCAAGCATTACGCCACCCAATACCGCTTTTTAAAACCATACAATACAAACATATATAACTTATTTGAACATGGATGCAAGTACACGTGTATGTAAGCAGCTAAAAACATGGAAGTATCAATTATCATAGTCCATTTACATACACTATTACAAAGACGATTACACATTGCAGATTTTCTACTGAATGCTAGAATGATGGCCCCCAAATATTAAATAACTTGGCTTATATCATTTATGAATCCTAATCATAAAATTGTAGACTGTCATCGTCATACAATTGGAGTTTGTCATCATTGTCTAGTAATAGAGAAAAATATTATGAGGGTGATTGGCATCACTTTTCAAAGTCCTTTCAAGTTGTAAAATTCCTTTGTAATTTTTGTTACTGTTTGGTGAAACTAACAAAAAGGAATTTCACTTGAAGTCACAGGCCATGAAAGTCAATTCGAGAGAAGCTAGTTTAGCATGCTTCAGTAATTCCGTTTTAAACAACTTCTCGCTTAAGAACCATAGACACGAATACGCTACACAACACGGATACAACACGGGCATGCCGGCGACATGTCAACTTTCAAAAAATGCAAGACACAACATGTGGGGAACACGCATGAAATATACAATTTTATATATTTATTACATATCATATATATGAATATATCATTCAAAGATGATAAAAAAAATATATAATATAACACTTATTTTATAAATTTATATATTTTTTTCTTTTATTATTGTGTCTAAGTTGTTTAGTTCAAACTTATAATGAATTTCATGTGTGTCTAATCAATGGACACATGTGTTTAAGCAATGGACACGAGTGTCCGAAGAGTGTCTAGATCTAAAGAACTTTTTAAAAAATAAGACACATTTTGATGAGTGTCAGAAACATGTCGGGAAATGTCCACTGAGTATCAGTGTCCGACACAGACACGACATAGATACACCACCTTCTTAGAAGTGTTCGTGCTGCTTAGTTTCTCGCAAAGTCAAATAAATCTTAGGTGACACTTAGTTGTTCCTGATACTACGCTCATAAATTATAACAAACTTCTAATACTAGTCCTATACAGTATGAAAATTTTACAATACACTTCATATTAAAAAGATGCATACCATATGCATTCATCGCTTTCAGCTGGTGGATCTAAACAAATTAATTAATCCATTGATCACAATTACATTGAGTCATAACTAACACCAATTTGGGTCATAACCAATGGTTACAACCAGAGTCACCACAATGGGTTGTAACCAACACCACTTTGGAACATCACCAAACAACATTAATGTGACATACCCAATTATCATTTGACAATTTGCTTGCTTCACTACCACCATGTATTTTTCTAAACCAAATCAAACTAAGCCTAGTGTCCCAATCAAGTGGAGTCGGCTACATGAATCATTTTTCTCCATTCAACACTATTAAGTGCTATATGCTCCATTAAATTCAATAAATTCGTATCTTTTTTCACTACCACATCCCATGTCAACTTACGTTTTCCTTGTGAGAATATATTAGCATATATTCCATATATCTTCTATGTTAGGCATATATGATTGTATATCGTATTGATTGTGTGGATATTCAAATTTTTTTTTTTTATAAATATTTGGTTTTCCTTTTTAAGTCTTAGTTTTAGGGCTATATAAATAGATATATGCTTTGTAACGATTACAATTGAATATACAAGAATTATTCATTCAGAATTCTTAAATGCTATTAGAGCTGTGTTTGGAACCCTAGCCTCTTATAGCCATCATTGATCTCTGGTTCATCGTTTCTCTCTGATTCATCACCGATCCTTGTTCGTGATTTCTATGGTTTATCGATCGAAGTTCTCAAGGTTCAAGATCACCAAAAGCTTCGCCACAATCGCAACATCAACTCCTGGGTCACAATCTCTCTCTTTCTAGTTCCCTGGTAGAATTGCAATTGAGCTCTCTCTCTCTCTCTCTACCTCTTTGATTCTCGCAAGGTTTGCTCTATCTCTTATTTGAGTTTGGGTCTTCTCTTCTGTTTCGCTACTTACCCACTGGTATATGACCCATCTGGTACTGTTTTTGGTTTATTACAGTTTGGACCATCAGTTCGTTGTTTGTTACACTTTGTTCCATCGGTTTTCTATTTTTTTGTTCATTACAATGTCGGATAATAGAATTCAGACCATTAGTTGCACACTCACTGGTACTAACTACGCTTATTGGTCCAACATTATGAAAAAATTTCCACTAGGTCAAAAAAGATAAGGATATGTTTATGGTTCTATTCTTCGTCCGTTGGATATAAAAAAAGGTATCATGTTGATTGTGACAATGCCCAAGTTTTAACTTAGTTTCACAACTCTGTGGAAGATCGTGTTGGGATGATGTTTTCCAAATATGCTACTGCCAAGGAGGTGTGGGACTAATTACTTGGAGTTTATCAGCAATCTAACTTTGCCAAACGATATAAGTTGGAATTAACTATTTAAGGTGCTCATTAGCGGGACAGGTCTACCCAGGATTTCAACATTGGACTCTAGGATCAGTTTGCTCTCATAGAACCATCTAATCTCAAGGCACTAGATGCTTATTTGCAATTCCAAGAAGAGTGTCATTTGGTGCAATTCTTAATAGCTATTTCTCCTCAATTTGAGGCTATTCATGGTGCATCATTCACCGTTCTCCCTTCCCTTCTGTGGATGCTATTGTTTATGAGCTCTTCTCCGAAGAAACCCATCTCAAGACGACTAATCAGACTCTGTCTCCATCTATTTCTTGGCTCCTACTCAACCTCCACTATTGTCAACCCCATCTACCCATCAGCTTCAGGTCTCTGCCAAACCCAAAGAAGGGGCCACTGGCATTAGATGAGTGTACTTTCTACCATCAAAGATGCCGATGGAAATATAACTATCCCAAGAAGGGACGTCCACTTGCTCCGTCTTCTCAACAGTCTCAGACCCAGTTTCGCATTCGTCCAAGTACTTTTTGACCTCCCGCCACATATACTGCATCTACTCCGACTCCTGATCCTGACTTGACTTCTTCAAGTGCTCAGATTGCTCAACTTCAGCATATGATGTCTATCTCCTAGCCATCCTTGTCTGTCTCCACTCTAACCTCTCTTCATTCAAGTTTGCTTCAATCCTCTTCAAGTATCTCTTCTTCTGTCTAACTTTTTGACTCTAGTGCCTCTCATCATATGACACCTCATCTCTCCTTACTTCAAAACTATATTCCCCCTTCCTTTCTTATTACTGTTAATACTACTAATGGTTTGGTATGTCTGCTATTGGGTCTGTCCTACCATCTGACATGTCTGTCGTCACTATTCCATCTATCATTTATGTTCCTCAGTTATCTGTCAATTTACTATCTATCAGTCAGCTTGATACTTCCAATTTTGATGTTATATTTTCTTCTTCAATCTGTTGTGTAAAATCGGATGTCCAAGCAACAAATTGGGACCGGCTGTAGAATTAAAGACCTCTATGTGGTAGAAAGCTTTCATTTCCCTCTATCCATCTCTCGGACTACTCTTTTATCCTTTCAGTTAGATTCTCAGTCGAGTCAGTTTTATTTGTGGCATTCTAGATTAGGCCATTTTTCTGTTGACCGTTTACAGTCTTTAACTCAGTCAAGATTGTTGGGTAAAGTTTTTCCTAATCAAATTATTGAATATCGAGAGTGTAAACTTGCCAAAATGACAACATTACTTTTTAATAAGAGTATTTTTATTTTCAATACACGTTTTCTTTAGTCCATACTGATATTTGGAGCCCTTTACCTATTCTGGGGTCCTTCTCCTATTCTCATCAAAGGGAGTTCTACATACTATATGTCATTTGTTGATGATTGCACCAATTACACTTGTGTTTATTTTATAACTCATAAGTCCAACTTCTACCAAATATACTATACTTTTCAATCTATGATTACTACACAGTTTGGGTCTACTATTAAAATGTTGCAGTTTGACTTGGGTGGAGAATATTTTAAAACTGAGTTTTGTGAGTATTTAGCTAATTTGGGTACCATTCACCGAACTTCCTATTCTAATACGCCCTCCCAGAATGGCAGGACTGAGCGTAAACATTGTCATCTTCTTGAGTCTACTTGGTCTCTTCTTCTCTCTGCCTCTATTCCGGCCCCATTATAGGTGAGGTCGTTCTTACTGCTACCTTTATGAGGCTTTATTTTCCCATGTTCCCAATTACTCCCTCCTTCACGTCTTTAGGTCTGCATATTTGTCCTTCTTCCCCGTAAAGATAGGACCAAACTTAGTACTCAGTCTATCCTGTGTGCCTTTTTGGATTATAGTCTTACTTAGAAATGCTATCATTATTATGATCTTGTCTCATGTCGCCTTTATGTCTCTTGCCCTGTTGCCTTTTCTCGAACGCGTATCTTACTTTCAGTTTCCTTCTATCGTTGTCCTTGTTTCCAAAGAGAATTTGGTTCACATTGATCCATTTCCTTCTAAGATCCCTCTTGATGAGTATATCTCTACCATGGTTGTTAAGATTGCGATCCAGATCATACAATCCAGCGATCCTGATCGTACGATCCCTCTTGTATCTATTCTTCTTCTTCTTCTTCTTCTTCTTCTTCTTCTTCTTCCTTCTCCCTTTTTTTTTGGTCTTCTTCGTTTTTCCTTACGCTGTTGTTGCTACTTCTTCTTCTTCTTCTTCTTCTT